TAAAATAGATAGATAGATAGTTTCTAACATTCATCTATTATTAAACTAATAGTCACTGTATATAGTAGCATACATAATAAATGTCCAAAAGTGTTTAGTAGAAAGCAGATATTGTTGTAATCTGCAAAGTGATGCCACAGAATAAATATATAAATATATCAGAAAAAGGAACTTCATTGTAGTTTACTAAGAGGAAGCCATTATGCTATGAAATTTTTATGTTTTCAATAATCAAATTTCCTACATTAGTTACAGTGCAATAAGCTTCAGAGTTTGGGTAAAAGACATTTTTTGTCTTGGCTTTGTTTATATTATTTTTATATATTTACTGTTTATCCATATGTATCTATAGCTCTGAAGATGGCTGTGGTAGATATCTATCATTCCAGGCTAAAGGAGAGACAGAGACGAAAAAAGTAAGTAGAAAGCTATACTGGCTTCTTTCATTTCTGTACTACTAACTGCATACAGTTCATAAAAACTCTCACTTTCTGAGCTTAGATTTTTCCATCTGTCAAATAGAGATAATAAGTTCTTATTTTTACTTTTTTTCCTTACCCTTTATTGATGTTCTGGTGAATAATAAGTAATGTGGGCATGTTATTTTAAGATCTTTGGAAAAAAGCAACAAGAACTATTTGAGTAGTGTCACAGTGTTTTTAATATTCTCATTCTTATTCTTTTTTCTTTTCTTTTTTTTATTTTTTCCAATAGCAGAGATAGAACTCAGGCTTCCTCCTGAACTTTCTCCAGCCTTTTTAAAATTTTGAGATAGTGTTTTGCTAAGTTACTTAAATTTATATTCTTCCTGCCTCAGCCACCCAGAGTGCTGGGATTATAAGCGTACTCCACCATGCCTGATTTTTTAGTCCTTCTAATTATTTATTTTTATTTATTTATTTATTTATTTTTGCAGTATTGGGGATTGAACTCAACACCCTGTGCTTGCCAGGCAAGTGCTTATTCTACTAAGCTATCTCCCCGGCCCTAATTATTATTATTTTTTTTTTATGAGAAATCTTTCATCAAAAGAAGGTCTTTTTGTTTTTGTTTTTCAGTTTTGTTTTGTTTTTGTAGATCAAGCGGATCTTGAATTCACTGTGTAGCCTAGGCTGGCCTTTAACTCCCGCCTGGGATTACAGGTGTGCACCACCATGCCTGGCAAGAGATTTTACTTTAAAAAATAAAAAAAGACTGCAGAGGTAGCTTAGTGGTAGATCCCCACAGCAGGCAAAAGGACCTAAGTTTAAACCCCAGCAACCAAAAAACAAAACAGCACATGTACACATTCAGAATTAGAAATTCAGGATCTCAGACTCCTGTTGCATTATAGAGATTTTAATAGTTCAGAGAGGTAGGAAGGGTGTGAGTATACAATATGTTTGTGGCCTATATATTAATGATATTACTAACTATAGACACAAAGGTCTCAGCAGTCAGAGCAGGGACTAGAGAGGTACTCTTTGAGGAAGCACAGCATGAGCTATAATGAAGCTTACTCTCCACATCTGGAGTGAGTGTCCATGGTTGTTAAAAAAACTTACCCCATTGTTTCCATGAGAAGCTTTATTGCTTGTTATGAACACCTCTGGTATAACTAAGGTTCCAGGCACAACCTTGTGTAGGTTCCTTAAATCCTACTTTGCTTACAACGTTCAGAGCTGGAGAGCACTGTAGAACTCGGTTGTTACGAATTGGTATGAGATCTTACATCTTATGGTTCCCTTCCACTAAACATGCACAATATATATTTCAAATAGCTTCAGGGTATTATCTGGATGCACAGATAAATATTAAATGTGTGATTGTGGTGCCCTTTTCTGGTTAGCAGGTTTTTCTTAGATGTCTATTTTTGATTATCATTTTCACAAGCTGTCTAATTTTATGACATAAATCTAGATTCCCTCCTGTTTCATCTTAAGTGATAGATACATATTTTTTAGTATTTGTGAATGGCCATTCATTCATTCATTCATTCATTCATCTAATAGTTATTAAGAATCTGCTGTGCCCAAGGAGAGGGGAAAAGTGTGATATAGAGATCTTAAAATTGTACTGACTCACAAAAGTTTGTGAGGAATGACTTCATGAGAACTCATTATTCTACCTAATGATGGTTATGCTCTCTGATAAAAGATACATACAGCAGACAATAAATTTACAACTTATGCTAACAGAGACTTTTGTGGTTTTTCATTCTAGAATTATAAGAGATCATGGATTAATCAACCTTAGAAAATTTCAATGTAAGTGTTAGCTGTTTGTTTTTTTTTTATTTCACAATTGGTTTTAATATTATTAAATAGCTTGAAATCTTTTATGGCAGTGGTGCTTAATCCAAGTTGTGTGGTAGCATCATCTAGGAAGATTTATAAAATTCTGATGCAGGAATGAGAATGTGGTCGATGAGAGAAGGCATGGTTAGCATATCCAGCAAAGCCCTGGATTCAGTCACCAGCACCAAAAAACAGAAACACCAAGTCTTTTAAGAAATTTTTTAAATTTATTTTATTCTAAAGAGAATGAAAAAATAATAGATGACATTAAAAATGATACACAACTAAAAAAAAAACCAGGATGATAAATATTCAACAGTGCAAAAAACTGAGTCTTTAAGGCAATCTATTAACTTTTTTTTTTTTTTTTTTTTTTTGGTACCACAAATCAAACTCAAGACCTTGGGCTTGCCAAGCAGGTACTTGTGCTGCTGAGCTACATCCCTGGCCCCTTTAAGGCAATCTATAGTGGTAGAAAGAACTATTAATTTATAATCTGTGACATTTGAGATAGGCATAGTGTTGCACACCTGCAGTCCCAGCACTGGGGTGGTGGTACTGAGGTAGGAGGACCATGTGTTCAAGGCCAGCCTGGGCTACATAATGAGTTCAAGGCCAGTTTGCTTGGACTGCACATGGAGACCCTGTCTTAAAAATAAAAACAGTGAGCTAGATGTTATGGCACAGATGTAATGTAAGTCTGTTAGCTGGGAAGGTGAGGCAGTAGCTTTTGTGTGTGTGTGTGTGCATTTGGTACAGGGTCTTACTACACAGCTTGGACTCCTGGTAATCCTCCTGTTTACAGCCTCCCCAGGGCTGGGATTACAGGTGTGCACCACCATGCTGGGCCTTGGTGGCTGGCTCAGTGTGTCTGGGGGCAGGTGAGCAGGCATGTGGTGCCTGTGACCCTGATCCCTGTGCTTGCCCAAGCAGGCGCTTAGTCTGTTAAGCTATCTTGCCTGCCCTTGAGGCAGTAGAATTACCATAAATTTGAGGTCAGCCTGGGCTACATAGTAAGACCCTGTCTTTAAAAAAAAAAAAAAATGTATTTTTTTAAATTAGCGTAGTAATCACAGCATTAATGGATCATTTTCCAGGTGACATGATGTTTTGAAACTGTATTAAATATAACCTTGATGTTCAGGTTATTTTTTTTTTATTTATTATTTTTTTGTGTGTGGTGTTAGGGCTCAAACTCAGGCCCTCAAGTGCTCTACAAAAGCACTGTCACTGAGCTATACCTCCAGCTTGATCATCAGGTTATAAAAACATTTTTATATAAAGATTAGCACAAAGTGATACTATTATTTTGCAAGATAGGAGGCAAACACAAAAGATATTTAACATTTGTAACAGTGATAATAAACATAATTCTTAAATATGCAAATGAACACTTATTTATTGTTTTCTGAGACAGGATCTCACTATGTAGCTCATGTTGACCTTGAATTTACTTTGTAGCCCAGGCTGGCAGTAAACAGTGATCCTTTTACAATTATTAGGGTGGATGTTACTTTTAATAGTTGTATAATTATATATATATATAGTTATATAGTTATATAAATTGGTTCATGTAGTTAAATAAAAATGGTTTGACTTGTTTGTAGTTTTAAAAATTTATATAAAGTGATATGGTGAACTTTTTTGCAAATAAAGCTTTGTGTATATGTAGACATGTAGACTTTTTTTTTAGTTTTTTGTTTTTGTTTTTTTTGAAATTCATTATGTAGTTCAGACTAGTCTTGAATTCACTGTGTAGCCCAGGTTGGCCTGAAACTTGCGGTACCTCTCCTGCCTCAGCCTTCCAACTGCTGGTTTGGTCAGTAGTGATCCTCAAAGTTGCTGGTCCTGTGTATACTGCATGTGTAACCATTCACCTGCATGTTAATTGTCAAAATACAACTTCATTAGTAAATTAAGTCCTTCCAAGTACATACTCAGCTATATGTAAGAATTTTGTTTTAAAAAAGATAGTCTGGAAGTGAAATTGACAGATCAAAAAGTATACTCACTAATTCTTGATATGCCAGATGTAGTGACACGTGCCTGTTATTCTGGGTGTCTGAGGGAGGAGGATCTCAAATTCTAGTCTAGCCACGGCAATTTAGGACTTAGTGAGACTGTCTCAAAATAAAAAAATAAGAAAAGGGAAGAAGCTCAGTGTAAGTGTGCTGAGTTCAATCTGCAGACCACTAACCAAATCAAACCAAACCTAATGTGTGTTGCCGATTTGCTTTCCAGAGATGACTCTATCATTGTATATTCCTTGGAGCAGTATATAAGCTTGCCAATTTAATTGTTTTCATCAAGACTTGTGGGTTTGCAAAAATAATCCTGAATCAGATTTCCCAAACTTTCCCTTTTTTATTTTTATTTTTTTTGATGGAACCAGGAATTAAACTCAGGCCCTTATGCTTGCCAGGTAATCACTTATTCTACTCAACTATCTCCCCAGCCCCTCACACTCTTTCTATAGAGTTATTGGCCATGTTCTGGTAGACATGCTTACTAATGGATTCTTCCTGGGTTTTCCATAACAGATTGGTTAGGTTTTGACTTTTATTTACAAAAGATAAGGAACTCTTGCATAAATCCTATATTTAATATAATATAGCAGTCAGGTAGGTTTGGCCTTCTTATCATTAGCTACTGTGGTTTCAGAGGTTTAAACCTGTCATTGAATGTACAGTTGAGGTCAGGTGACTTCAATAGTATAGGCAAGATTTGGGGGGAGGATTGGTCACATTTTAAAATTTTACTCCCAATTAATATCATGTTGTTATTTGTTTTGTTTTTGGTGAAAATCATCAGTCTGTCTGTGGCTGCCTATCAAATCAGCTCCTGGATTTGTAGATAGGATAGTGTTTTGCAAAGAAAGAGATTCATCTAAAAAACAGGACTTAATTTAAATAACTGTCATAAATGAAAATCTGTATCTTTAATCCAAGAATAGGTAAAACTGAATTCTTTGATTAAAATCACAAATAAATGGTTCAAGAGCTCCTAACTCTACAAACCTATCAATTATTGTCAGACAATTTTACTCCTGATTTTATTTGCAGATAGTTCTTTTCAGTAAAAAATTGGTCAGTTGTGATCCCCAAAATTGCTGGTCCTGTGTATGCCACATATGTGACCATTCACCTGCATGATAATTGCAAAGTGTAACTTTAATATTAAATTAAGTTGTAGTTATTTAATTTGGTTTGGACAAAAGCCAAGTGAGCCCTTTGGACAGCGAAGAAATACGTACCCACCTGACCAGGTATAGGTACGGAGAGGTGAGTCATCTCAGAGATGCTATACTTTTTCCAAGCTAATCTACCTGTTCCAGATGGATTCTTGCATTTCCTTGTTTGTCCCCGGAAATGAATACCAGAAACTGGGGCCAGCATTATGTCAAAGAATGCCTGGTCTGCCTTTGTTTTTTTTCATTATTGCAGCAGTGCTTGACCCTGTACGAATTAAAAGGCTTTGCTAAGAGGGACATTAGTAGTGCTTAGCAGTGGAGATGCTGTCCCCTGATAACAACATCCCTGTGTGATAGTTGCTATGATGCTATTCTTATGATTAGTGTTTTGCTTTCTTAGACTTCCTGCTTGCCTCTTCATGGGCAAATTAGTCATGTGAGCTTAGGCATTATGAGCTTTCGTTTGTAGGAAAAGAAAAAAGTTGCAAATTTTGGGATCCTTGTATTGTTTATAACATGGTTGTGTTGTGTTTTGCTTTCTTTGTAGTAATGGAAAGGCGGTACCCCAAAGAAGTCCAAGACCTTTATGAAACAATGAGGCGATTTGCAAGGATTGTGGGCCCAGTGGAACATGACAAATTCATTGAAAGCCATGCACGTAGGTGGTTTTTGGACCTTGTTAAGCATATATATATGTGTATATATAACTAGGAGAGAAGCCAGGTACGGTAGTTCAAGTATAATCCAGGCACTCTGGAAGGCTATGACAGGAAAATTGCAACTTTAATTCCAGCCTGGGTAACTATACCAGACCCTATGTCAAAAAAAAAAAGAGGTAGGGGAGGCCTTTTAAAGGGCCTGTGAAGGCTGTGGGCTCAATCCTTAATACCTCTAAATAAATAAGTAAAGGATAATGGTATGCTTTATGTGAAATGAATAAATGGATATTTCTGTCTTTGCTTTTCTTCATTTTTGCAGTAGTGGAGATTTAACCCAGGACCTTGTTCATGCAAGGCAAGTGCTCTCTCAGTGAAATACATCCCTAGTCCTTATATTTTTGAGACAAGGTCCCAGTAAATTGCTCAGTCTATAGGCATGCCTGGCCTCTTTTTTATTACCATGAGATAAATGGGATTGTGCAGGTGGAAAAAGGAAGGTTAAAAATACCTGTGCCTTTGTTTTTCCTAGACAAAAGGTAGTTGAGTAATTTATCTCCCAACTACTTATTATAGGAATTTTCAAACATATATGAAGTAAAATACAGTGAACCCCGTAATATGTATCCATCACCTAGTCTTAGCATTTATCAATCAGCATGTCGCCAGTTTAGTTTCATCTGTAACTATTCATTCATCTGTGCTCTTACCCCCATGGGATTATGAAGGAAATTTCAGACATCACATAATTTTTGGATGTCATATCATTTTGTTCAAAAATATTTTATTATTAAAACCTGTTTTAGAATGCAGACAGTTAGATGACTAAGAGACATAATACTTCATTCTCTTGCCTTTCTCTAGTATTCTTTTCTTTTCTTTTTTTTTGGTGGTACCAGGGATTGAGCTCAGGACCCTGCACTTGCCAGGCAAGCACTTACTCTACTGAGCTATCTCCCTGGCCCTCTCTAGTATTGAGAAGAGTTCTCTTACATATATTTTGATTTTTCTAAAAACAATGGAAGTGCTGTGTGTGGTGGCACACACCTGAAATTCTAGCAGTCAGGAAGCTGAGACAGCAGGATCATTGCGAATTCGAGACCAGCCTGGGCTACAAATTGAGCTCAAGGCCAGCCTGAACTGCATAGCGAGACCCTGTCTCAAAAGGACAAAAAAAAAAAAAAAATTGAAGTTATTAAGCCAAGTGTGGTTCTGTATGGCTATAATTGTAGCACTCTGAGAAGCTGAGGCAAGAAAATCAGAAGTTTAAACCCAGTCTGGGCAACTTAGTAACTTGGAGAGACCCTGTCTCAAAATTAAAAATAAAAAGGGATTGGGATGAAGCTCATTGTGAAGGCCCTGAGTTTAACGGTACAGCAAAGAAAAAAATTTTTTTAATCATGAAGGCCATAAGACCTAGACTTTTAAAACAGTCTGGACTAGGTAGATAATTCTGTAACTGTCATTATGAAATCTGTGTTTGGCATCTCATTTTAGTTTTGGAAAAGTTCTTTGCCAAGCCCTGAGCCTGTTGTCATCCTGCAAGTCTTTCTTACTAAGCACCATGGGCATGTTGAGCCAGGCTGATTGTCCTCAGCAAACATCTTGTTTGGTTGGCATTCTTTGTGTGGTTTCTACTGAGCAACTGATCCTTTACTTCCTGTCCCAATTTGTGTCATTCCTGGTTTATGTGTCACTTCAAAGAACTATGCCCCATGGCTGTCTGGGCTTTTCCTTCATCTTCTATTTCAAAAGCACCCAAGTTTGAATGTTCTATCACATAATAACCCAGGCACTGCAATCTGATCTGTGCTCTCAGAGAAGGGAGAAATCTTTGATTTATGGAAAACACAATGCTCCTTTGTCCCTATAGGAGAAAAACTGTAAAAAATCTAACTGGGCCTGAGCACAGAGCTTTTGTCCTTCTCTTGCATCAGGGCCACAGCAAGCAATACCAGAGATAGGTTTCATAAAAGAACCTGGTCGTGAGTGTGAGTAGAAATTTTAACAGAGGATAGGTGGAACAGAATATCTTGATTATTTAAAAAAACTGTATTCTTTAATTTTGTAGACAAATGAATTCAGCCAGTTTACTTCTAAGTTTCCTAGAAGGTAATTCCAGATGCTGCATCTAGAGACAGCAGCTGGAAAGCAGTTCGAGTAGGATTTTCTTCTGAGCTCTTGGGTAAAATTATTAATGAGAGGTTACCTATAAAAGGTATTTCCCAGATGAAATTGCCCAACAGGATTACTAAAAACACTCAACAGTGAAAGTACTCACTGACACTGATTTTTTCTTTTTTTTTTTTTTCCTTTGTTCTTTTTGGGAAAACAGTGGAATTTGAACTTCGAAGGGAAATAAAGCGACTTCAGGAATATAGGACAGCAGGCATTACCAATTTTTGTAGTAAGTATCCTTCAGCTATGTACTGTGTCAGAGGGCAGATATCATCCAAATACATAGACGGAATCACTGAGGTGCTGTGAATTGTTTTAAACAAGATTTTCTTTTTCAGAATGACTTTTCAATCTTTCCAGTCAGGTTTCATTTATTTAATCTCCTAAATACCATCATATAGATAATAAAGGTCATGACAGAGGAAAGGTACTGTTTCCAGTTTAGGATTCTACTCTGGCACCTTTCTGTATATAGCTTGGGGCATGTGGCTAAGTGGTAGAGTACTTGGCTAGCATGCTGCAGACCCTGGTAAATAAGATAATAGTTACTTTCTGCGGATGGAGTTATGAGTGACTTACTTTCTTTATACTTTTGGAGTTCCCCCTCACAAGTTTCTTTCTTTTTTTGTTTTTTTTTGGCGGAACTGGGAATTGAACTCAAGCCCTTGCACTTACCAGGGAAGCACTTACTCTACCGAGCCATTTCCCCGGCCCCAAATTTCTTAAATATGGAAAAAGAATAAATGTATATCATTTAGTGTCAAGAAAGGGATTTTATTATTCTCTTTTTGGAGAGGTAGTACTGGGGACTGAAGCCAAAGCCCTCCACATAGCAAGCAAGAGCTCTACCACTAAACTATATCTTCAGTCTTTTTTAATTTCTTTTTTGTTTTGGTTTGTTTTGTTTTAGTTCAGGCTGGTCTTGAACTTACTTTGTATCCTATGTTGGCTTTGAACTCATGACAGTCTTGCCTCAGCCCCCCAAGTGCTGGGATTAACAGGCATCTAGCACCACATCCAGCTTGCTTGCTTGCTGTTTTGTTTTTGTTTTTAGGGGTGTCTTTTTTGTTTTTCAGACAGGATTTCACTGTGTAGTTTGGGCTGGCCTTGAACTCACTTTGTAGCCTACCATTCCTCCAGACTCAGCCTTCTGAGTGCTGCTGGGGTTACAGGCATATAACACCATGCCTGACTAAGACAAGGATTTTATTTATTTTATTTTTATTTTTAATTTTTTGGCAGAACCGGGGATTGAACTCAGACCCTTGCGCTTGCCAGGGAAGCGCTTATCCTACTGAGCCATCTCCCCAGCATATTTTATATTTTTCAAAGAAAATAAAACAGGGCCAGGGAGAGAGCTCAGTAGAATAAGCACTTGCCTTGTAAGTGCAAGGTCCTGAGTTCAATCCCTGGTACTGAAAAGAAAAAAGAAGGTTTTCTTTGGGCCGGGGAGATAGCTCAGTAGAATAAGTGCTTGCCTGGTAAGTGCAAGGTCCTGACTGAGTTCAATCCCCGGTACCACCAAAAAAAAAAGTAAGAAAAAAAATTAGAAACGGTACAAAATTTCACTCAGCAGAATAACAGGGATTCTACAATGGTTGTTATATTGCATACTGTTGTCTTCAAATTAGTTGTTTAGATTACCAGATACAAACATGCAAAATTGGATATATACATGAAATTAAAAAGGAGAAGAAAAAAACCTCAAGCATTAATTGCTCCTTTTAATAGACCAACAGAAATCAGTAGTATAATTATCTAAGCTGTCCTGTATGTATACATAAAAGGATTTTAGACTTAAATCTTCTTGGTTCCTTTTTTTTTTTTCTCTCTCTCTCTACTTGGTTCTTGATAGAATAATATTTTAACTTTTTTTTTTTTTTTGGGCCAGCTCAGCCTGCCCTGAGGGCAGGGCTGTGAGCATGTGGTGCTGGAGATTGAAGCGTGGTCCCCTGCACCTGCCTAAGCTTGCCTAAGCAGGCGCTTTAGACTGCTGAGCCATCTCACCGGCCCTTCTTAACAGAATAATTTTTTGATTTTGTTTTTGACACAAGGTCTTGCTATGTAATTCAGACTAACCTTAAACTTTCTATGTAACCCAGGCTTGTCTGGAATTACAGTAATTGGAAGAATAATTGTCACAGAAGTTTCACAAAGGAAACCAAGAAATGATAAACTGCTGGAAGTCACTTCTGGTGCACTGTGATTATAGTTACGGTATTTTCTATACCTCCAGGTGCCAGGACATATGATCACCTAAAGAAGACACGTGAGGAAGAACGCCTTAAGCGCACCATGCTCTCTGAGGTTCTGCAGTACATCCAGGACAGCAGTGCATGCCAGCAGTGGCTCCGCCGGCAAGCTGACATGTGAGCACTTAGCCCTCACCTGTGTTTTTGAACATTTCTGTGGGTACCATAAATGGGAGAGCTAGAAACATTCGCAAACATTTTAGCAGTTCATCTTGCATTATTCAGTTTTGAGAAACGAAATTGGCCTCGTACAATCCTACTTTCCTTTGATTTTATTTTTAAAAATTATTGTATTCCCCCTAGCCGCCCATCCACATCTCTTCCCTTTCTTATTTACTAATATGATTTTCATTGAAAATTCACATTCTCAGGCTGACCAAATAGCTCAGCGGATTAAAGTGCCTGCAAGCAAGGTGCAGGGGCCAGGGGTTCCATCCTTGGGCCTGCCATGCTGGCCCTGCCCCTGGGGCGCACTGAGATGGCAATTGAGACTGGGTGTGTAGCCCCCCTATAATCCCATTTCTCAGAAGGCTGTAAACAGGCGGATCACTATGAGTCCAATCTAGTAGTGAAACACTAAATACCCTGTAGACCCTTCCCTAAAATACAAAAAAAAATTCACATTCTCATCCCTCCCCTGTGAATTATGTCAGTGATGCTCCATGTTAAGAGCTTTTAGCTGGGAATGATGGCCAGTGCCTCTTAATTTCAGCACTCAAGAGGCTGAAGCAGGAGGATCACTATGAGTTCATAGCCACCTTGGGGTACATAGTGAGTTCAAGGCCAACCTGAACTATGTAATGAGACCCTATCTTAACCCCCAAAAAGAGCTCTTAGCAAATTGGAGGGATTTATTTCTGCCACAGAACAGGTTTTCTTTCTTGGCTAGTAAAGAGAGGGACCCTATAAAACATTATCCAGTCTATTTCATTACATCTCTTGAAAGTGGTCTTCCTGATAAATGGTACTCAGTCCAACATGGGCTTTTGGAAACTGTCTTCTTTGATGATCTACGTTTAAATTGCTGTTTTTCGTCGTAGTGATTCCGGACTGAGTCCTTCTATTCCAATGGCTTCAAATTCAGGTAACTATTTCTCAATCTAGAGCAAGTGAGAGTTGTTAGTATTTTTGGTTTTTGTAGTGATGGGGAATTTAGCCAAGGCCTTGTGCATACTAGTTTTGATTGTGAAGTTTGCATTCAAGATGTTATAGAGAGGGGCCGGGGAGATGGCTCAGTAGAATAAATGCTTGCCTGGCAAGTGCGGGGTCCTTAATTCAACCCCCAGTACCAAAAAAAAAAAAAAAAAAAAAAGATGTTATAGTGACCTAGCGATCTTACTCTCTCTGTAGGATTAGGGTGTTTAGGCAGAGCAGCAGTAAGCAACTGTTAGCCCTTATAAACATTAGCACAATTTCAGAATATTCATAGCTAGTAGGGATGATCTTAGGTCCCTGAGATTATAGTGAAGGAAAGAAAAGATCCCAAAAAGGTAGCTTCTTTTTCTCTATCCCACCTAAAGAGCAATTCCCATAAAATATAACATAGATAGTAGTCTACATTTTCTTCTGTTTAACTCACTGAATCCATTTCCACCTGATCTCTCATCTCAAGTGTACATTCAAAAATAAACACCAAAATATTGTATGCATCAAGTTTCTCATCCTTCCCTGGCCAGTGACCACCTTTTTAGGTTTCTTTCTCAGGTATGTGAGATGACTTTAGTCTCTGTTTTGCTATATAATGGCTAATTGTTCCTGTTAGTGGATCTTTCAGGTAAACAGTGCTACTTTGAAAGGAACAGGTCTCCTCTCACATAATAAATAAGGAGGGCCTTTTGCTGGCCTAACAGTCAGCCTTTGATCTGAAGGCACATGGTCCTTGGTTAATTACTGTGTTTACCTTGTACTACTGGCAGAGTGGTGAGGATTAGAGAAAGTCTGTCCTGCAGAGTTATTATTCCATTCATCAGCTGTCAAGGCAGGCAGTGTGTGACCTTTCTTAACTGGATGATATCTGAGCTTCAGATTCTAGTGCCCCCTTCGTGGTGGGAAGACACAGGGGATAACTGCTGTGTGGAGAGCAGTTGTATTTGACACTAAGGCACACATGTACTTTGGCAGAGCAAAAGACAGATGAATTATCATTTGTATTTTGAAGTGAATATTAGGGTGCCCATGTTAGCTAAATAGACCCGTGGGAGTGAGCTTAACTTTCCTACAGTTGATATAGTAATTCTATCTAAATAGGCTTGGACTGAGCTTCCTTCTGCTTTTATACCTAAGCAGTTGTTACACATTTCTCTGTGTAGGTAGACGGAGTGCACCACCTTTGAACCTTACTGGCCTTCCTGGCACGGAGAAGCTGAATGAAAAAGAAAAGGAGGTAACAAAAGGGGAACCAGAGCAAAGAGTAGATTATTCATTGCTTTGAAAAACTCATTACAGGGCCATGGAGATAGCCCAGTAGTCTAAGCACCTGCCTAAGCAAGCACAAGGGCCAGGGTTCAATCTCTGGTACCGCATGCCTTGCTGGCCCCACCCCAGGCAAGCCAAGCCAGCCACCAGGACTGGGTGTGGTGGTGTACACCTGAAATCCCAGCACGGGGGAGGCTGAAACAGGAAAAGCACTATGAGTCCATACTGTGTAGTGAGACCCTGTACCAAATACATAAAAATAAATAAATACAAATTAAAAAACTCATTATGGCATGACACCCATTTTGCTTCTCTCTAACATGTATGCACTATCTGTGGTCTCTAGATATCCAGGGACTAAAGAACTCTTGGCAAGTTTCAGAATGCCTTTCTTATTACCCTGCCACCATTCCTCTAGGGGGATGTTTATGTGATAGTTTCATATAATAGCACCAACATCTTTTTTTTGAGCCTTTAGGTTATCAGATAACTATTATGTAAATAAAATTCTTTTTTTGTAAACCTAAAATAACTTTCTATCAAAGTATTTCCTGTTAGATTGGTCATTTTATGAAGTTCTGCGTGTATCTCAACAACACAAGGCTAAGGCAGGGGGATTATGAATTTAAGACAGTCTGGGCTACGTGGACACACCCTATTTCAAAAAATCAAACACAAAACAACAGTATACCCATTACTTAAAACATTTTTGAATTTGTTTCCATACTTTCTAACATCAAGGAAAGAATTCAGAGTTGGCCATTGTGGCCATTGTGACATGTGGGTCATTCCAGCACTCTTGGGAGGCTGAGGCAGGAAGTAGCAAGTTAGAGCTCAGCTTAGGCAACTTGTTTGAAAGAATAAAAAGAGGTCTGAAGATATAGCAATCCCCAGTATTTCCTGTCTGCTAGGAGACACACACCCAGGAATTCAGAGCCTGGCACAGTGGTATATACCTATAATGCTACCTAGCCTAAAGATAAGAAGGGGGGTGTACATTTGAGGTCACCCTGAGTATTCTGGGGGGAGGAAGGGGAGCTGAATTTTGATACGGAGTTAGCCTGGCCTTAACGTAATATGTAGCCTAGGCTTAGGCTCACCTTAAACTCATGCCTATTCTCCTGTCTTAGCCTCCCCAATGCTGGAATTACAGGCCTGCACTAAGATGCCTGATGGCAAACTGAGCAATTTAGTAAGACTGTCTGAAAGTAAAATTTAAAAATAGGCTAGTGGGGCTGGCAAGATAGCTCAGTGATCTAAAGTGCCTGCTTAGGCAAGCATGCAGGGACCATAGTTCGATCCTGGGCACCACATGCCACACCAGCCCTGCCCATAGGGTTGGCTGAGCTGGCCACAAAAATAAATAATTTAAAAAATGGTTGTTCTAGTAGTGTTTGTGGACAGGATATCATGTCTGCATCCTATACTATGAATAACAACTCAGAAGACAACAGTATGCAATGTGTTAATCATTGAAACTGTCCTACTAATTGGTTTTGAAGCTGTCTCATTGCTGTTTGTTTCTCAATAAAATTATTTTTAAAAAATAAATAAAAATAAAAAATAGGCTGGGGATAGAGCTCAGTAGTAGAGTAATTGTTTTGGATGGGTGAGGCCCTGGGTTTAATTCCAGCTTTCTCCTTGGGTGGATTCAGTATTATATATAGTCACACATTAATTTTGATTTTAAAATACTATGACCCAATTGCCTTCTCAATTATAATCATCAGACTTATCTTTTAGATTTATCTTTTGGTTGTTTTTTTAAGCTTGTGTGTTTGTTTTGAGACAGGTCTTACTGAGTAATCTAGGTTGACTTTGAATTTACTTGGTGGCCCGGATAGCCTTCAACTTGCAGTCTTGCCTCAGTGTCCCAAATGCGGGGATTATAGGTGTGCCATCATATTTATGTGCATTTCTAAAATTTAAATCCTAGATCTCATAAGAACCATCTTTAAGAGTTTCCAGCTGGGTATGGTAACACAGGCCTGTAGTCCCATCGTTTGGGAGAAGGAGGCAGGCAGACTGTGAGTTTGGCTCCAATCTAGTCTGCATGTCAAGATCTCATCTCAAAAGGAAAAAGTGCTTCTAAAAGGATGTGCTGGGGCTGGGGACTCGGCTCAGCGGTGGAATGCTGGCCTAGCAAGCTGGAAGCTGTGGGTTTGGTCCTTGGCACCAAAAACAAAAAATAAACCTCCCCTAAAAGGATGTGCCGCAAGCTTGAAGCCCACCTCATGCTCCTCCTTTTACATCTCCTCAGGTTGGCCCCATATCTACCGCTCTGTAGTGTCAGCTCCCGTCGGACAGCATAGAAGAGTTGTGGGCTTCGGGGTGTATTTGTCTTACTTTATCCACAGGAACAATGAAAATTAGTTTGGGAGCAGAAGGAAATGAGTGTTGTGTATACAGGTTGCTAAAGAAAGCCACAGGGCCAGTTTGATTTAAAGGTTCAGTGGCCTGGAATTGCAAGCATTTTTTATCCTTACCACACAATGATGACCTCAAAGTACTCATTGCTGGATAATGGCAGGTGAGCTAGAACTCAGCCATCTTTCTAGATTTTTAGCAGTTAAAGTGGCTTCTTCTCAAAGGAGCAAACATAATCACCAAACCAGGTCCAACAACTTTATGGTCATACTAACAATAATGTGATTCACATTTGGGGATCCAGGTACCTCATCTCGTGCCCCATTGTGTCCCGTGTTGGTCTTGTGCCCTGGCATTTAATGCTCGATGCCTAGGTAAGCCAGGCTGCCCCTCAGGGACTCATGTACCTCCCAGTAAACTGAGGTCCCCAGGCATCCTGCATGAGCTAAAGACTCTGCTAGCGTCACATGCTGGCTGCTGCTTCCTGGGTGGCCTTCCCAAGGGGGTAGTGTTCTCTCCAAGGACAAAGAGACTAAGTGGAATGTGGCCCAGCCACTCAGCGGCTCCTATAAATAGTTGGAGGTTGATGTCACTTCTTTTTGCTTTTGCTATACCTGCTGGATTAAATTATGAGAATGACAGATGTTAATGTTTATTAAATTTGCCGTGTCTTGCAGCTCTGTCAGATGGTGAGGTTGGTCCCAGGAGCCTATTTAGAATATAAATCTGCTCTCCTGAATGAATGTAACAAGCAAGGAGGCTTGAGACTGGCACAGGCAAGAGCGCTCATCAAGATAGACGTGAACAAGACCCGGAAAATTTATGATTTCCTCATCCGAGAAGGATACATCACCAAAGCTTGAGCTCGTAAGGCCCTCGGATCCCAAGTCTGAACTTTGGAATGTGGTGTGTCAAGAGGACAGTGTACACATTCTGAAGGGTCTTGTTGTTGAGCTGAATTCTCACTGTACAAAAAGAAGACAAAGGAAATTTTATGTTGTATTACTCTATACTGCTTTAAAGCACTCCTGTTGTTGGTATTGTGCTGTGGAGTGGTGTGCTAGATAAGCTATTATTAAATGTGAGTGGGCATTTATTCCTAACATTTCTTGTAACTAAAACAGGAACCATAGTACCTCACATCACAGTGTTGGTAGAAATAGAACCAAACCAACCACAGTGCTTAGTCCCAGGAGTCCAGCTCATCCTGGTGCTTGAGAGCTAAGTTTGCTCATTATCTGTTTTGCCTTCAAATATCACAGACAGATCTAAAAAGGAAAAAAAAAAGGGTTCAGAGCATCAGAAAGCTTTCTTTTCTAATTTTTTCTTTAAAGCTGACAGTTTATGAACAAAAAGGAAAATCTTACCATGATGGTCTTGTCCCAAACTGCATCTTTAATATCTGGTTTTATGCTTTGCAGTCCATCTGATGTGTAGTATTGAGGCAGTAGCAGTGGATATCAAATGTCTGTGTTATTTTTAGAATTGATGGATTAAAATGTTTTGCTGTTTAATTTGTGGGTATGTCAAACATTCTAGTAAATAAGCACACTTCGGGTTCTGGATGCCTACTCCATCACGTTGCACCATCCCTACTAAAATGTGTGTCCTGGACTCACCCTGTTCTTACCCCAGGTTTCCCAGAATACCAGCCCCTGAGGAAGGACATGATGCAACGACTCTCAGCTTTGCTTGGAATGAGACCTGAACCCTAATTTCTTAATGGTGAAAGGCTAGCCTGCAATAAAAGCTGCTTCCAAAACAGAAGTAAAGCAGCTTCATACATTAAACTCACTAGATGTGAGGGTGAGTAGCCCCACCACATCTGAAACATACCTCAAACCTTTATGCAGACTAAGAAGCCAAACTCATAGTCATGGTTATCTCATTTCTGTTGGAAGCAAAATTGTATATAGAAATAACTTCACCAGAGCTGGGCTTAGTGGCACATGCCTATAATCCCAGCACTCTAGGGACTGAGGCAGGAGGATCATTCTAAGGCCAGCCTGGACTACATAGTGAGTTCAAAGGCAGCCTGAACTATATGGTGAGACCATATCTGAAAAAAAAACAATTTACTTCATCAGAATCTGCACTGATCACCTTTCATAGCTCGCCAATTCCTTAATTCCTGTAATAGTCAAACAGCTGATTAGTATGTACTTTATCAGTAGCATCTGCTCAGGGTCTTGACTGATGTAAATATTTGAGCAGCTTGCTAGTAGATATCTCCAGGGCATGAAAAGGACACTCAAGATCTGAAGGAATTCAGATAGAGGACTTCAGTTCTTAGCAAAGGAAGACTGCTGGAAATGGTCTGTCTTTGCATCGTAATATCCCAGAAAACATATTGCATCAGCACCATCAATACTTGGTGCTTATGAAGGATTTGCCTCTTACCCCTGAGAAGTATCCTGTGCTAGAATCTGGGGCACAGGCACTGTCTGTGTCAGGTGATGTTTGTTGTAGTTTGAAGAGTCTTTCTGTTGATTAGGAGGGCTTCCTGGGAGAGGTGGGCTTTAGAGACAGTAAGTAGGATTGAGAGAGAAAAATGGCAGATGGAGGTGGGAGACTGTTCCAGACATAGGGGTGGAGGAGGATATGGAGGCAGCAGTGGGAGTGAAGCAGATAGTGCCAAGAGATGCATTCGGCTAGAACATAGGGGCAGCTGTGGGAACTGGGAGTGGGAGGATGGCAGGACAGGCTCACAGAAACCTTGGAACTGACTGAAGGCTGAAAGTCAGGTGGAGACCAATAGAATTGATAAGGAAAGTGGTACTGCTCAAAGTATTAACAGACCCAGGTATGGTGGTACATGCCTGTAATCCTAGCGCTTTGGAGGCTGAGGCAGGAGGATTGCCATGAGGTCAAGGCCAGCCTGAACCACATAGCAAAACCCTGTAAGGAAAAAAAAAAGGAGGGTAAAGTTATAATTACAAATGACAGACTTTAGGAAGTGGGAGTATTAATGCTTTGGTAAACCCAGCTTTGCAAAATTTAAGATAACAGTTTCTCTGAGTACTCTTAAAAGGACTTACTGAATTGCTATCTTTTTGTGTTAACATTACAATGTCCCAGCAGGGTATGGTGGCGCATGCCTGTAAGTCCCAGCATTTGAGAGGCTGAGGCAGGAGGATCTTGAGAATTGAGACCAGCCTGGGCTACATAGTGAGACCCTGTCTCAAAAACACAATAGAAAGCACTTACT